AAGACCAGGGAGTGCCCAGCACCTTGGAGCCTTCTGACCACAGCCTCCTGACTGGGTGCAGGTAGATGCGGGGGCTGTGTGAGGGTGGGGTTAGTTGAGCAGAGCCGTGATTTATCCCACCGTCCTCCGTGGTACGGAGCTTCTCTCTGCTCACCTTCTTGCATGTCCCTGTGTGACAGTTTCCACCAAGGAGCCACAGGGGAGGTGCTGGAAGGACGGTGAGCCCGGGTGAAGAGAGGCAGCCCTGCCTGTTCTGAGGACTGGGACACTGCTGTTCCCCCGGCCACCATGTAGAAGCGTAGACTCGGCCGAACTGTGAGCAGCCGAGGAGTATGCAGAGGCCACCCTGATCCTCCGCCCCAGCCCAGTCACCAGAGAGGTGTGTGGCAGCATCTCTACATCATCCCAGTGCCAGCCACGGAGCATCCTGGCCCAGAAGTCAGCACAGCTGAGTCCTGAGGACCAGGGCCATGCCTCAGCCCAAGTGGACCTCGCCTAGGCCCAGAGCCCCATACCTAACGTCTCTGTGGCCTCCCTGCCTCCTCCTCGGTCATCCAGGACGCAGTCGGTCCCAGCCCAAGGCATTCTGCTTCCAGGGTGTCTCAAACTCAGCCTGTCTTTGCCCCGTGCGCCATCAGCACTGAACAGCAGATTTGTTCATGGCACAGATGTTGGGGGCACTCAGGGCCAAGGACAGAGGTACGGGCACTGCAGACACCAGAGGGGTGAGGCCAATGCCGAGGGCTTCTGCAGGTGAGAGCAGGAAGGGGATTCAGGAGCAGAACACGGACACAGTCAAGGGATCAAATGAGCCAGCCTCTGCCCCAGAGCGGCCGGCTGAGGACTGATTCGGGGACGGCCCCGGGGGACAGCGCTGCCGTGTGGCTGGCACAGTCAGCACAGCTTCACAGGTTGCCAAGACCCCTCCTTTGTCTGACGGGCTGGCGCTAATGTGCCAGATTTCACCCGCTTGGCGGAAGAGGACGTTCTCATTTATAATGTTTTCATCCTCAAAATCTATGATGTGGATCCGATTATCACATGTAAGAGACTGTGTCCCAACCAAAAACCGGATGGCCTATGTTTCTGCAGTCTGAGGTGTGAGAGCCCGTGCCTGGAGCTCCAGGCTGTAGATCACCGGCGCATCGTCCTCCATGCTGCCCGGGTGAATCACCTGCGGCTCGGGCACTCAAATCCTCCCTAGAGCCTGAGCGTCCCACCTGGTGGGCGCTGACCCAGCATCCGTCCCTTCCTTGCCTGCCTGAGGCCACAGAGAAATTAATTCTTCTTATGTGAGTGTATTATTCAGCTTTCCCATTGCTGAGCACAATCCTGACACGCACAGAGTTGAGTTTTAATTGGGCTAACGGTTTTAGGAGATTCCGTACATGGTCGGCAGGATCCAGGGCAGGGACATCCTAGCAAAAGGATGTGGTGGAACTGTGCTGCTTAGTTCATAGCCGCTAGAAAGCAGGGCAGGGGAATTGTTCCAGAGACAAATTTTGAAGGAATATATATAACGTTCATGCCTCCGTGACCCACCCAGATACATCCAGGAGCATCTCCAAGCTTCATTTCCTCTTTTGTGTGAGACTACTTAAGTCTCAGTATTTCTGTGAGGATTTAATGATACAATCCACTAAGTGTATGACACAATTTCTCGAACATGTTAAGTGACCAATAAGTGGTGGACTTTCATATTACATGAAACATGTGTTCTTAACAATCTATTCCTTCCAACAGTAACTTCTCATGAGTTTTTCAGTGTACTCTTCCAATCCAATACATAAAATACTTTGTAAGCAGAAACAGAACAGAAACATGCAAGCCATACTATTGCCTGAGGAGTAGGGAATATTTTGAATTCCCTTTATTTATACATTTCATTAATTTTACTGGTGCAATTTAAATATATGTTATATATATAAAGATCACTTTTATCAAAGGGAGATGTACTTGTACACGATATATCTTGATTCCTCTTTTTCTCCCAACCCCCTCTCCTCCTTTTAACTTCCTCTCCCTCCCTTATTTACAAAAGCCTTGTTTTCATTTTTTTCCTGTT